TGCAGAATTCTTAGATGTAAAATGGTGTGCCAGCTCAAGGTTATAGTCCAGGGTTGAACCAGTGTCTAGTATGCTGCCAGGATTTGGCAAAGGGGAGCTGGCTGATGACTCTCTGATACTAGGTGAGCATTATTGTGGGCAATAGATTAAACAGCTTACCCAAACTCACCAAAATATCATAAATGTTTCCTTTCAAAACAGGATAGTTTCCTTGGGATTATGGCAGTTACTATCTCCAAACCCTCTTGATACTTTTTGTGATCTGTGGCAGATGGTTTTTATAGCTTACAGTAAAGATTATTGAAACAGTGATTAAAGTCAGTTGTACACCAACATGGCAGAGTATTGTCAAATTAAAGAACTGTTCCAATCCTGTGTTGTCAGAATATATGGTCTTGAGATTTATTAGCCTTTGCTGAAGCACCGTAGACTGACAGGATATAGTAATTGTATAAATCACATCTGTATCAGTAACTTATCCTAACCTCATTTATCTGTGCCTAATTAAGAGCTGTCTTTGTATGGATGCGGTCGAGTGGTCACTGTGGATTTTACACCTAAAATTTCTGTGAGATCTGTTAATTGTATACATGCAGTCACAATCATGGTGTTGATAGGTAGGTACCTTTTCTTCTTGATACTGACTTTATCAAGATCTGTAGTTTCAATTTGCAAAAATTGTCTCATGGAAGAAAAATATGGATGCCCTTTTCTTATATAAGTGTATAGGTTTTAGTTTATACAGAGCAGTATAGATATATTGTAGATATCCTTGGCTACTCAGAATAGATGCAATGGGTTAGTAAATAATTGATATTACTGTAATGAGATATTTCATGCCTTGTGTGCCTAAACATGTTGCACATATATGTTTGTGTGTGCCAAATGTTAACATTCAGTTTCACAGTTGTTTGCAAAATCTGAGGATAGTATAAAGAACCGTGCACAGTGAGGTTTGGGTTTCATAGTTACATAGTAATGTTCTGGAAAGATTGGTATTGTAGAAGCAGTGCATTTAAGTCAGGTTTGCTTCAAGAACGTCTCTGCAGATATGATGCTGAAATTACATAAGAAATGAGAACACAATTCAATTTTTTTTATTTTTTATTTTTTATTTATTAATTTATTTTTTAAATATGATGAAATGTCAAACAAATTATCACTTTCATTTATAAGTATCTGTTAGTCACTGCTCTGAGTGATACACTTGATAGACTAGTTAGGCTATTGTCGTCACTTTCTTTGATTATACTTTGAGCAGTAATGGATTCAGTGTCATTTGTTGACAATAATATTGACAAATAAAATCATTTATAACTAGCTTGGAGGTCTCTGGGAGGTATTGGTGTAAAATGTGCTCATTGATGTAAACAATGGCATTCAGCATATATACTCCTTGGTCGCTGAGCACTTTGGAGTCCTCTGTGTGTTAACACCTTTCACAAAGTAAAACTACAGCTGACAAATCATGTTCCTGGCAATAATAGTTTGAGTTATATAGATTTTCTTTACACTTGAAGGAAGCTGGTGTAAGTCACATTACTTTTTACTCTCTCTCTCTCTCTCACTCACTCACTCACTCTTCTCTCCTCTCTCTCCTCTCTCTCTCTCTCTCTCTCTCTCTCTCTCTCTCTCTCTCTCACTCACTCACTCACTCACTCACTCACTCACTCACTCACTCACTCACTCTCCTCTCCTCTCTCTCTCTCTCTCTCTCTCTCTCTCTCTCTCTCTCTCTCTCTCTCTCTCTCTCTCTCTCTCTCTCTCTCTTACTCTCTTACTCTCTCTCTCACTCTCACTCTCATTCTCTCTACCTCTCTCTCTCTCTCTCTCTCTCTCTCTCTCTCTCTCTCTCTCTCTCTCTCTCTCTCTCTCTCTCTCTCTCTCTCTCTCTCTCTCTCTCTCTCTCTCACTCTCTTTCTGTGCAATCTCTCTCTCTCTCTCACTCTCTTTCTGTGCATCTCTCTCTCTCTCTCACTCTCTTTCTGTGCATCTCTCTCTCTCTCTCACTCTCTTTCTGTGCATCTCTCTCTCTCTCTCACTCTCTTTCTGTGCATCTCTCTCTCTCTCTCACACTCTTTCTGTGTCTCTCTCTCTCTCTCTCACTCTCTTTCTGTGTCTCTCTCTCTCTCTCTCACTCTCTTTCTGTGCATCTCTCTCTCTCTCTCACTCTCTTTCTGTGCTCTCTCTCTCTCTCACTCTCTTTCTGTGCGTCTCTCTCTCATCACACTCTTTCTGTGTCTCTCTCTCTCTCTCTCTCCTCTCTCTCTCTCTCTCTCTCTCTCTCTCTCTCTCTCCCTCTCCTCTCTCTCTCTCTCTCTCTCTCTCTCCTCTCCTCTCTCTCTCTCTCTCTCTCTCTCTCTCTCTCTCACTCTCACTCTCTTTCTGTGCATCTCTCTCTCTCTCTCTCACTCTCTTTCTGTGCATCTCTCTCTCTCTCTCACTCTCTTTCGGTGCATCTCTCTCTCTCTCACTCTCTTTCTGTGCATCTCTCTCTCTCTCTCACTCTCTTTCTGTGCATCTCTCTCTCTCTCTCACTCTCTTTCTGTGCATCTCTCTCTCTCTCTCACTCTCTTTCTGTGCGTCTCTCTCTCACACACTCTTTCTGTGTGTGTCTCTCTCTCTC